GTGAAACGAGGGAGCAAAAGCCACGAGGGCATCTGGGAGAAGGGCATCCTCAGGTTGAAGGCGCAGCAAATGCAAAGGCCCTGAGCAGGTGTGTTTGAGGGACGGCAGGAAGCTCACTCGGGCTGGAGCAGAGCGGGCAAGGATGGGAGCAGTGGAGCCTGAGGCTAGACTGGTGGTAGTCAGAAGCCAGGCCACGCCAGGCCTTCCTGCTGATCCAAGCCCTTGAGATGAGAGCCTTTGACTAACCAAGTGACACAGTCTCACGTTTTGACTGCTGTATGGAGAACAGACAATGGAGCATCAGACTCGGGGGCAGGGTGGCGGGGAGCGGTCTCTACTGCCTCAGCCACCCCAGCCGGCCCGAAGGACCTGGCTCCTTGCTCAAGCACAGCCCTCCAGCAGGTACCAGGATGCAGGGAATGGGGACTTATAGGGCCCTGTCCCACTTCCACCACCAGCTCAGCCAAAGCCCTGGAAGATCTCATATACTTTACTAGGTGAGCCGTGCAAGCCAGCCCCTGATTAATTACTTTATTCATTCATCTAGTCACCTTTAAGTGGAGGCTGCTTTCTGCCAGGCCCTGTACCAGAAAGGGGGACAAGCAGAAAGGTCACTGCTTTCTAGGAGCTCATGTTCTCAGGGGGGCAAGGGCGAGTTGGTGGAGGGGTGGGCTCAGGAAGGCTGCCTAGTGGGGCAGACTGACTTCCCGTGACCCCGAGCAGCGGCGACACAGCTGGCATCACAGACTGATCCATGCCAAGGGGGAGGAAGCCCACAGAGGTCTGGCTCCGTGCCCTGCCCCTTACCCCCAACAACAGTGAGGAAACCCAGGCACAGAGCGGGAATGGGAAAGGCCCAAGGGGACAGAGAGTGAAGGGTCCAGGCTCTTCCTACTCAGAGTCAGCCCCTAGGAAGGAGCAGGGGCCCTGGTCTGGGAGCTCCTTGAGGGCTGGGACCAGATGTGTCTCACTCACCGCTGTCTCACCAAGTGAGGGAGGGTTCCTGGTGTGGGTCCAAAGACCCCTCCCCATCTGGCCTCATAGGATGAGGGGGAGCAGCCAGAGCATGGCCAGCCAACCCTGCTGCTTAAAATCATGCTGAAGAAGCCTTTTCTACCAGCAGCTGACATGCCAGGGCCCCCCTGATAGGAGAGGGGCAGTGTCCCTTCTGGAAGCTCTGGGAATCAGTTCCCAAGAAGGGAATATTGACCGGAGCCCATGACGGTATCCCCCTGCCCCTCTACAACAGCAGTGAATTCAGGTGGTTATTATTAACATTCCTGCTTTAATAATCATATAATCTTTGAGCATAAGAAATTCTCTCCTTTCAATTACCCCATTTTACAAAAGAGTAAACAGGATCAGAAAGGCTAACTCACATCTGTCTCCAGCTTGTAAGTGGTGGAGCTGAAACTCAAATCCCATCCTACTCCAGAGGCCACATGTTCCACCTCTCAGAAGACCACCTCCCTGGCTATCACAGCCCCTCCAGTGGCCTGCTCGGGGCCATTCTGGGCAATGTCGGTCCTGAGGGGTGACCCACTGCAAAACCTTGGGGTTTTGTTGTTGTTTTTTAATCAAGTAGAGAAGCCATGCTTTCAAATGAAAGCAGGTAGGAATATCCAATCACAAGGCTTATAAAAGCAGAGTTGCCCCCACACCACCATTCCCAATGCTGGGGCCCCCACCCCTCCCTGAGGACTGGCTCAGCTGACCCCAGGCTCTCCTCTGCTAAGACTCAAGTCCTATCACCCAGCAGCCCTACTTCCTGCAGCCATGGGGGGGGTTAACACCTCCACGTCCCTGCTTAAGGGCATCAATCTCAGAGGCAGATGGAGTGGGACCTTCTCATCCTCAGTTGGCAGGTCAAGAAGCTGAGGCCAGAGCCAGACACGCTTGCCCCAGGCACTGGGGGCTTCTCAGTGGTAGAGCTGCTATTGGAACCCAGGGGTCCTGCCTCCCGCATCAGTGCTGTTTCTTCAAGGTGGCAACTACCTACAGGACTGAGGTGACCAGGACCAAGGGCAAGAAGGGGAAGGGCTGATATAATAATTCCAGGTGGGCAGGATGGCCCTCCCCCAGTCCCCAGCCTGCCAGGTGGCCCACTACCTAAGCCTCTAACCCCGGGCCAGCATACCTGCCCCTCCGGAGCCCAACTCAAAGCAAAGAAAGCCCTTCTCTCCTGGAACAGCCACACTCAGGGCCCTCAGAGTGATGTGGGAAAGCTTCAGGGAGCCATGGGGAGACCCTCTTGCAGAATAGAAGCCCAGCTGACATCTATGCAGATTTCACCAAAGACTGCTCACTGCTCTAAAGCAGGCCCGCGCAGGGCGCCGGACAGACGTGGGCCCGCACCTTGCACCTGCCCGTGGAGTCTGCTGCCGCGGTGTGCCGTCGAATCTGAGGTTCAGCATGTTTTACGAACTCAAATCTGAGACTCCGAGGGTTTGTGAGGATTCCAGATTCCAGGCGTTTATAGGGATTCTGTTTATACTTGGTGTTTGCTGAAATTCGCAGACTGCGTTCTAACTGTGTGTGAAGGCAAGTCTCAGATTACACCATCCTTTCAGCTGGATGGAGTCCTGCCTGAGAAGGAGGGAGCAGGTTCCTGGACCATCCTGGGCCCCTGGCCTGACTGAGGACGGCTGGCCACCCCTCCCCCACAGGCGGGGCAGGCCTTTAATGCAACCCCATCCTCCTGGCCGGCTTGGTCACATAAATCACCCTCCCAATAATATTTGTATTGATTATCTAGATTGGAAGCCTCAATTGGCTCCATTGTCTCACTTCCTCTTCCAGGACTCACAGATGGGGTCCCTTCACCTCATCTGCGTTTCTAATTCGACATTTAAATGGAGCGGCCTCCCAGGCCAGCCAGGCCCCTTGCTTCCCTGGGTGTTGGAGGGGTTGGGAGGAGTGATAAACAGATTCCCTGACAGAGAATCATTAAATCTAGAGTTTGTGGAGCTGGAGGAAAAGTCAAGATGGGCGAGTCCCCGCACACGCAAAGCGTTGCCTCCCAGCACGACCAGGGCGCTTGCTGGAGGTGCAGAGCCAGGCCCCACCCCAGGCCCTCCGGATCAACACCCGCATTTTAACATCATCCCTCAGTGATTCAGATGCACGTTAATGTTTAAGAAGCACTTTTCTAGTCCGCCCCTTGTAATGTACAGAAGGGAAACTGAGGCCCAGAGAAGGCAAGGTCACACGGTAGGTGAGATCCCCCGAGTCTCCAGCCCAGGCAGAGGAAATGGGAGGGCAAGAGGCTTCTGGAGTGAGGGCCTGGCCATTTCCAGCCTCCTCTCCCTCCCAAGCTCCTGACTCCTATTTCGGAGGCTGGACAGATGGTTCAGACCAGAGTCTGACCCCCCTGTACTCTCCCAGCCTGGAGGGGCCAGCGAGAGCTCCAGGGACTCCCCAGGAGGGCACCTCCCTCCCGCCCCAGCCGGCCAGCTGCCCCTTCCCTGGCAGCAACTGGACAGCAGATCCCAGGGAAAACCAGCACCTGGGTCTGCCCAGCACCACCAGGCGTCCGCGGAGGGGGTGGGGCAGGAGGCACGAGGCCCTAGAGAGGCGGCCAGCAGAGGGCCTGGGAGAGGTGGGGAGCAGGGCCGAGAAAGCTGTGGTCAGAGGGAGGGAAGCAAGGAGAAAGACAGAGATGGTGGGGAAGGTGGGGGGCAGAGAGATGGACAACCAGGAACAACCAGAAGGAGGGGAGAAGGACTCGGAGGGAGAGGGAAGCCCAGATACAAGGAGAAGCAGCCAGTTGAGAACAGGAGAAGGGGGAAGAAGGAGGGAGGGAATGGAGGCAGTGAAGACTGATGGGGCAGGAGAAGGGAGGGGAGGCAGCTGGCCTGGAGAAGCAGGAGCCCAGCATGGCCCGGCCCTGCCCAGCCCGGCCTGGCCCAGCCCCCAGTGACGGTGCAGCTGCCACACTTGGGCCCTACCATGAGGTCAGTCCTGCCCCGGGGCTGGGAGAAAATAAATGGTGTCCAAGATAAAAGGTCCAGGAAATTATTTGTCTTGTTGTCGTGTCTTGACTGCAACGGGCAGGGGCTGGCGGGCTGGCGGGGCATCATCTCAGAAAAGCCCAGGCTGGCAGGCTTCGCCCCCCCGGACACACACACGGAGGACCCAGGCCTCAGCCTGACTTGGCCACCCACAGCCCCGGCTTCTCCTGCCCAAGTCTGGGGCCTAGGACACCTCCCAGAACTTGGGCCTCAGAGGGCAGGAAGCGGTGGGGGCATGCGCAGTCAGGGTCTGGCCCCAAACCCCCTCCAAGCGCTGGGAAGGAGAAGTCTTGTCTGATTCATCCACTGTTGAGGGTCTTTGTGGGCTGAGGGCTTGGGGAGGGAAGGGAGCCAGGGTGTCTCACTCCTCCCAGCCCCCTTACGGAGGCACCTTGGGGCAGCTGATGGTTCCTAAACACCTCGGAGGAGAGCGGGGCCGTTCCATGGTCGGGGCAGGTCAAGGAGACTCACAAGGTGCTGTGAGTGCCCATACCTCACAGGTGCACAAGCTCAAGCTCACACAGCACAGCGCACATGTGTGTCCACGTGCACGTGCACACACGTTTACACACATATGCACACATGTGCACACACAGTCACACCAGGCCAATTTCCACCACCACTAGCAGCATCCAAAAAGCATTCCCCAGAGGCTCCCATCCCTCTAAGCGTGTGAACCTGGGATAAAGCAATGCCATGGGGAGCAGCAACCTGTTTTAAGCCACCCCCACCCACACCCATGACGACTGGCATTTATGGGGCGTTTACCAGCAACAGCATGCTTTATTCATGTCTTCAGTTACTACTCCCAGCAAGGCTCTCAGGGATGCACTCCTGCATCCCCATATTACAGATGAGAAAACTGAGGCCCAGAAAGGTTCCGCCCCAAGATAACACAGCCAGGACACAGCAGAGCTGGGGTTTGAACCCGAGGTCTCAGCGGACAGGAAGAATGTGCACACCGTCTGGGAGGAGGGGATTGGCACCTACCATACTTGTCCCCGTCCTCGCCGCGGGCGCTGATCCTGCGGCCCAGGACCTGGATGTGCTTCCCGCTGGTCCGGCTGTAGAGCTGGTACAGCCGCAGCTGCTTACGGCTCACATCGTCCCGAGCCCGCGTCTGGTTCTCCACGTGGATGCGGAAGTCCACGTTCTCCTCGGCCGCCAGCACCTGGGCAGGGAAAGGGGTGACGGTGAGCCAGAGTCCCTGCGTGCAGGCACCACATTCACAACAAAAAGCCGGGGCCTCCCCTCCGCCAGCTCTGGGCCAGGCATCAACACTGACTCATAATGGCCCTGTTACCCCACACACACACCGTTTCACAGATGAGGCAACTGAGGCCCAGAGAGGTGAGGCAAGCTGCCCAGGGTGGTCAAGGCAGGAGGCAGCAAAGCTTAGAATCAGGCCTAGGTCTCTTTGGCAACAAATTTTGCTGTCTTCCCACCATTGCCCCAAATTAAAGCAAGAAACATGGAGCGGAGGTTTCCCCTGTGACCTTGGGTGCCTGGTTTGTTCAGCCTTAGATTCCTTTCCAGTGAAACAGCGGAGCAGAGCCCTGCCCTGATTACATCCCAAGGTGGCTCTGAGGATAAAGTGAGCAACTGGGAAGAAAAGCACCCAAAACGATATAGAGATTGAAGAGGGATGAGGGGATATGATGCTGTCTAGTGGGAAGGAGGGAAGCCTGGCAAATTTCTTCCTGGAAACAAATGGGCCAGAGCCCACTGTCACTTCTCCCCCAGGATCTGATGCTGGGGTGGTCTCCTCTCCATGCCCCAAGGGTCCTCATGCTCGCCCCACCACCAAGCATTTGACTGTCCCCCAGCCCTTCATGGAGAAGCCTTTGCTCTGTATCTCCCATCAAAATTCCCTGTATCCCTAGAGGTTAGCTCATGTCTGACTATGTTTTCCAGGAAGCCACCTCTGGCTACACCAACATGTATCTCTCCAGTCTCCCTTCCCAGAACATGGCCTCTCTCCTGGGCAACTTGCACCCACCTCCTCACCAGCCTCCTGCTTCCACTCTTTCCCTCTGGTAGTCCGTCTTCCACCAAACTCAATCACCTTGCGTAAACTTCCCTCTCCAAATTCTCCAGGGCTTCCCATCACATTTAGATAAAGGTCCCCACTAGGGCCTCAGGGCCCTGTAAGATGAGCCCCCGACTGCCTTTCCGCATTCATCTCCAACCACTCCCTCCCCACCGATGACACCGTCTGCCTTATTATGCTGCTAAGCATTCCAAACACAAAACGTGTACGTGCCTCAGGGCCTTTACACTTGCTCTTCCCTCTGCTTCAGTGCTCTTTTCCAGATTTTCACACTCAGGCTCCTCTAATTCATTTGGGTCTCTGCTCAAACGTCACATCCTGAGAGAGGACTTCCTCCACTGCTTTTCTGAGGCAGCCCTCACTTCTGTCATTCTCCATCTCTTTACCATGCTTTGTTTTTCTTTCTAGCATTTATCAGCCTGACATAATATCTATTTATCTGGTTTTTGTCTGTCTCCCCAACTTGTGTGTTGCTATATCCCCAGCACATAGCATAGTAGAAATTCAAACACTTGTCGAATGAATGAATGAATGAATGAACAACTGAACATTGAAAAGCTCTGGAGTCCTCTCATACCACTTAGCATTAAATTAGGTTCTCCTATGCCCTGCTAATTGCATGCCTGTGCCATCCCATCTTAACCGTAAGGCTGAACAATTCTTGAAGTCCAGACAGCGTTCCAGGTTTGTTCTAGTCATGCTAGGCATGCAGGACCCTGTTCCACAAGAGCATAGCCCCACTCAGTCCATGATGGAGCTCTTGGAATCAAGGCTGCACAAGAATCCATCTCACCCCTCAGCTGTGAGCTCCCCAGGGCAGGGTCCATGTTTTCCTCATTGCTACACCCCATGCCCAGGCCAGGGGCCTCTGTCTCCCAGCTGACCTGCACATGTCCTCCCAGCCCAGCCTGGGCCCCGCAGGTGCTTCAGCCGGACCACATTATTTAACCTTCACTATCAGCCTCAGGGTAGATGCATTATCCCACATTACAGATGAGGAAACTGAGGCTCCGAAGCCAAACCACCAGGCAATGGCAGAGTCAGCCCCAGGCCATGTGGCCCCAAAGCTCCACTTTCAGCCCCACCTCTCTGTGCTGTGACTGCCCCAGTAGGGCAATCAGGAGTAGCACTGGACGTTCAAAACCCAGGGCGAGCCACTCCCTACGTCAGGTCCCTGGGCAAGTTACTAACCTCTCTGTGCCTCAGTTTCCTCCGCTATAAAATGAGAGGGGTGACATGGCATCCACCTTGTGGGTTTCTATGAAGATTAAACATATAAAGTCTTAGAACAGTTTCCCGGTACAGAGTAAGTGCTCAGCAGGCGTAGATAACTACTGAGAGGATACAAGGGAGCCCCTTTAAGAGGCTCTCAGTGAAGCCCTGAAAATAGAAGCCTTCCCAGGACGCAAGCAAATCACATTTTCATGTCCTGAGAGACCAGGCACTTCTGCTGCGCCGATTACAGTTTGGGAAGATGTTATTGCTTTTGATCGTCCTGACAACCCTGGGGCATGGAAATGCTTATCACTCCCATTTAACAGATGTACAAACTGAGACTCACAGAAGTTAAGTCGGTTGCTCTGAGCTGTCCAGCCTGGAGGTGCAGGGCCTGGCCCACTAAGTGTGAACATCTTTCACTTAGACTACCTTCGATGGCAGCCCCATCACCATCCACAGCCCAATCTGATACCTGGGACCCGCCTCATTTCACAGCCTGAGGCTGAGGGAGGGCAGAACTCCAGTGCCCCTGAGGCCCACACCTGGGGGGCATGTGTCCTGAAGACCCCACCACCACCACCCATGGCTCTCAACCCTCCTGGAATGACTCCCCAAGGTGGCCCAGCCCTGTCCCCTCCCCCAAGGGTGGGCCTCCGACCTCCCCCCCCGGTTCTCCAGATCTCCTCCTGCTCACAGGAGACCTTATCGACCAGAGGTCAAACCAATCTCCTCACCCCAGGCCCCCGAGGGGAGCTGCCTTGCCCCAGAAGCCAGCCTCTCGTTAACGATTTTCTCCCTGGCCCACTGGACAGAGGCAGCACGGGTGACCCAGGGTCAGCGGGGGCTATCCGGTGGCCCTTCCCCAGGACATGGGAGACAATCCATCTTGCCCAGCTTCCACCATTTAAGCCACACTCTGTGGCCGCATCAACCCCGAGGGAGGTGGAAACGGGGTCTGTGCTTTTGAGAAGGCAGGGAGACCCCCAGGCTTCCTGGGCCAGCCCTCTGGGGGGCTCCAGGCCTTTGCACAGGCTGAGTCCTCTGCCATGGGCACCTTCTGACACCCGCTCTCAGGTACCTCTTCCGGAAGTGTTTCCTACCCTCTGGCCTCAGGCTGGGTTACAGCGTCTGGACACCACTGTAATGGCTTATTGTCCCCAGAGTCCAGTCTGTCTGGCTCATCCTTGAATCTCCAGCTCTGCCTCCAGGAGGCACCTGGCCAATGTTTCCTACGTAACTGTGGCTAGGACGAGGGAAACCTGGCAGCCCCCCCCCACTTACTGCCTAGACAGGCAGAGTGCCCACCAGAGGGCTTTTAAAGATATCAATTGCTAAGCTTCCCTCTGTTCCAGGCACTCTGCTAAGAAACCCTCAAGGCATGGTACCTCATCAAATTCCCTTACCACCCTTGGAGGTAGGTACCAGTTAGAGTCCATTTCACGGACTGGACCAACGAGGCTCCTCTCTGGGTCCACAGACCTCCAGGGTCTGCCTGCAGAGCTCATGCAAAGTGGCGTGTTCAGGAACATCCTCGCCCTCCTCCTTTCCTGTTAGCTGGGTACCAGGTCACTTGGCCTCACTGCCCAAGAGGGGGCCTGTCTTCCAGGCCTTCCTAGAACAGTCAGAACTGCCCTCTACCTGGCTAACACCCATCCAGGTGCCTGGGCGCTGAAAAGCTGCAGTGTGACAAAAAATCACAATGCTGCAGCTCTTGCAAGGCCAGCAGGGCTGGCACCTGTGGGGTGTCTCCTGGGGCACAGTAAGGTGCCTTACAAAAGGCCCTCCTTCCCCTACCTCATGCCACAGATTATCTTTTGGTTCAAGGTAGCTTTTCTCACAGCTGGGAGGCATACAGTGGGGTTCCCCCGCAACCAGACTGAGACCCCAGTTACCCTCCAGTTAGCCCCGTCTTTGCCCTGAGGGCTTGAGCTCTGGTGGAAATATTCAGTCAGACAGAGCCCACTGCCTTCTGCCTGCAGTCAGCCTTGTGGGTGCAGAGGTGAGGGGTTTCCCTGCTCCAAACTCTGCCTGGCTCCCCACTGCCCACAGCACAGTGCCCACGTGTGGTCCTTTACCACCCGACCCCTGCCTACCTTCCAACCTTCCTTTCCCAGGCACTTTGCGGGGAATCTCTCGGGGATTAAAAGAGGTTGAGGTGAGCTCCTGACACCAGGGCCAGCCTCCACACATCAGCCTAGGTCGTCCCCCTACCCCAAACCACTGTAGCATCCAAGAGCCACCGTTTCTCCCTCTGATCAAAGGTCTCAGCCTCACCAATCTACTCATGGCTCTGAAGGCACACTTGGGCTGCTTCCAATTTTTTCCCGGGCCCACCTCCCACCAACATATGCCGTATCACACAATACCTGCGTACACACGTTGCACAAGCACTCTCACACCCCACACATTCAACAAGATAACTAGCACTCACGGATCTCAGGTGTGACCTGGCGCCACCTCTTACCACCAACTGATTTGGTTTCTTTACCCCTTAGTTTTCTCATCAGTAGGATGAGATTGTCTACAATTATTTATCTTAGAAAACCATTATATTACTAACAATAGCCACTTTTTTTTCCTTTGCTTTCTTCTTCTGTTTTCTAAACAGCCGCTACTTATGGAGCATGTCCTCCGTGCTAAGAAGCACTCTAAGTGAATTATCTTATGTCATCCCCAGAGCAGCCCTATGAGTTAGTACAGTTATTATCCCCATTTTACAGATGAGGAAACTGAGGCTCAGCGAGGTTACATGGCTCGTCCAAAAGCATGGAATTGGTGTAAAAAAGAATTCAGATTCGAATCCAGCTTAGCCCAGAACCCACGCACCCCACCTCTTTACCCTCACCCGCTTCATTCTCCCTTCTCTCTGTCACCCACCTCCATTCCCCCATTCAGGAAAGCAACTGGCTCTGTCCACAGACCATAGATGGGGCAGGGACTAAGGTGGAGGATTAAACATGAAAGGACTGAAGGCCTTAAACTCACCCCCGACCC